CCCCAAAACCCCAAAACCCCAAAACCCCATCATTAAAAATATTGAGCTTAATCTTGAATTATCTTAATCTAAATTAATATAAATTTCAATTTACAGGATTTTCTAGCTAAATCAATGTTTCTTTATGCTTACCTCTATAATATTTACTTATTTCTAAATATCCAGCATTTTTAGGTATAAAAATTTGAATCCCATGCTTTTGACTATTCATATACTATCCAAGATCAATATCTCCATTGTTGAATATGTATACTCCTACACCCTCTCTCTCACCATTAGCCCATTACCCGTAGTATAAATCCATATTACTGTATTTTAATTATCCTAATCCTTCTTACTTATCTTATACCTATTATCCAGAGTAGACATCGCCATGTTTCCAATAATATTTTCCAAATCCATTTTTCTTACCAGCTTTATACTCTCCAATATAATAATTTCCATTCGCATAAATATAGCGTCCTAAACCATCGGTTAAATTATTTTTCCACAAACCGTCATAAATTTCTCCACTCCTCCAAATTTATCTTCCTCTTCCATCTCTTTATTTTATTACTTAATCATACTCACCTTGATATATTGAATTATCTGTGTATTTGATAAGTGAACTGAAGATTCTGTTTTTATTCGGATGAATTTTATCAATAGCCCCATAGTTATAATCTCCTAGTTCAGTTATTATATCATTGATAACTGCATTTGCTGATTTGATTTTCAAAGTAAATCCACTACTATTTTACTTTTCCTCTTCTAATTCTAAATGCTTTTCAAATGGTTCTTCCTTGAGTAGGCATAATTCATAGAGCACTTAAAGTCCATCTATTCTCAATGAGGGATCGGATTAAAGCATTTTGCTAAGTAGTTCTTCGAATGCTTTCTAATTCTTTTCAAGTCTTATTATCATTTCCTAATCTTGCTTCTTCAAATCAGAAATAATTTTTCCATTATATTTTTATTTCTTAGTGCATAAGTAGTAGAGTATTATTCCGAGTGACCAGAT